CCCCCCTCCCCTCAACCTCACAGCCTTTTGTCCTAGCCAGCCTCTTCTCTGCTCTGTCTTCTTGTTCTACCGAGAAGGATGGAAGCCTTTGGTCATTACCTCAGAAAGGAATTTAATGGTGACCTCTCCCAACTCCAATGCATGAATCAGGTGTTTGTTTAAATCTTTACAGTATCAGGGAAGTTTTATGTTTCCCAAGGCATACTGTTCCTTAGACTGAACCAAAATCTGCTCTTTTAACAATTACCTCCCAGTCCTAGTTTTATCTCTGGGGCTATAAAAACAAGTCTTCCTCTCCCATGTGACTCAAGAGGCATCCATTCATTCTCTTCTGTTAGATCCAAAGCTTACATATTTTCAAAAGCCCTGTTCAGGTTTCATCTCTTCCCAGAAGTACTAATAATAATTACCATTAGTCGAGCTTTTCTGTACACCATACATTGTGCTAATAAACACATGAGATGTGTTGTTTAATCCTAGCCTACCAGGTAGATGCTATTATTATTTCCATACATGAGATGAGTAGACTGATGTATAGAGAGGTTAAGTGACTTGTCCAAAGCCACATAAGTGGTAGAAACAGGACTCAAACCTAGGACCGTCTTAACTCAAAAGTCCATGCTTTTAAGCAGTATCAGGTACACTCTCCCAGAGAGCCTTATTTCCTGTATACACCGATGTCTTTCTCCTGCACTTGGGTAGCACTATTGATCTGTATCATCCATTCATTTACCGATCAGTTCATTTAGCAAACATTCACTGAGAGCATGTGCCAGTTATTAAGCAACTGTGTCTTGGTTCTAGCTTTGCTGTCCTCTCTCTGCTTCATGATACTTGGGCTGAGACTGCAAACTTTATTTCTTGTTTTTCAGCTGGCTTCCCATTAGATTTGATTAATAGGGGGTGCTAGAAGGAGACTGGACAGCAGGATAAGAGAAGGGACTTTCTCCTTCCTTTGCTTGCTCTTCCTGTCCGCGTTACCCCAGAAAAGGTCCTTCCCCCTGGCAGCAGCAGGCGCTTGCTAAATCAGCCTCTTTGTGATCCTCACAGGCACCAATGCCAGCCAGGTGACACCTTCCCATCAGAATTCTGAGTCTCAACTCTGCAAGGCCCCTTCTCCAGAATCCTTAGGTGCTCGTAGCAGCCGGGAAGCATTGCCTTAGAAATTCAAGTTCCAACTCTACAATCCCTCCTCCAAGCTCATAGCTTCTACAAACCCAAACCTCTCCCCTTTGTTCTTTTAGTTCTTGGGCTGGCATCCATTTCCTGCAGTTATTAGCTCTGTGCTGCCTTAGTGCTCCCTTTTTGCTTTCTCAGTCTTCTGATACCATTTTAAATAATAATATATATATGTTTTTGTTGATTTGAGAGAGAGAGAGGAAAGGAAGGGGAGAGAGAGAGAGAGAGAGAGAGAGAGAGAGGAACATCCATTGGCTGCCCCCTGCACACCCCCTACTGGGGATGGAGCCCACAACCCTGGCATGTGCCCTGACCTGGAATCCAAACAGCGACCCCTTGGTGCCTGGGATGATGCCCAGCCAACTAAGTCACACCCGCCAGGGCCTCTGATACCTTTTAAAAACCATATTCTCTCTACTGAATTCACTTTGTTGCAATCCCTAGTGTGATTTCGGTGTTCATGACTGGACCCTGACTGATGCAGTACTTGGGATCATGAGTAGTCCCCAGGGAACGAGCCTCAAACTATGGGATTCTGATACTGCTCTGGTAGTGTCCTTGGCCTTGCGCAGTACTGAGCTCCTTGCTAACAGGAAGTAGGACACTAGTAATCCACGAACATGTAGCACCGGCACAAATAATTAAAGGATCCTTTTTGGTGGAATGTGATAAGCTACCTACTGCCACCTAGTGGCTGGTACACTTGACTGTCTGGCAGCCCTGTGGGATGAGATGCCGGCTGACCTCCGTGGAAAGCTCACAGACAGAAAATGATAAGCTTAGTGCCTTACACTATCAGCTCAGTCATAATCAGAGAAGCAGTACAGTCAAGGATAATTAGGCGCATAGAGAAATAAGAAACCGTGAGCAAGAGAACTGAAAAGGCAGTGAGTAATTACAGAGCCAGCAGCTGCCCTGCGTATAAACTGTATTGAATGTGGAATGCAGGCATATTTCTCTGAAGTAAGAGAATTTAGTAGGACTGTAAGATGGCTCTGGGGGTACCTTGTTCATGAGCTGGCAGTTTCCTCCTTTTGGCCTGTGTCTAGTCTTCTTGTCTGCCCCTGTGTTTCCCGGTTCTCAGTTACTCCAAGCTCATTTCGTGATTATCTCTGATGTTGTTTCAGTGTCTAGAGATATATGCATTTTATTATTTCCAAGATGCACATTTTCCCCCCACATTTCAACATCTCTGAAACTGTGATGTACCTTGCAGATCAATGGAGTATCGTATTGGCAGCCTTTTTTATTTTAGCGATTCATTAAAAAATGCTGCATCTTACAGCTGATGGCAGTCGTAGATTTGGGTATCTGGGTCTGGAGATATGAACTTCCTGGAACTGCCTAGGGGCCTTTTTCTTTCTTCCCATCTATCCTTGGCTTCTATTTCTTCTGAATAATAGTTGTTCCATCTTTCTACTTTGAAGATCATTCTGCTCTTTTTACCCTTCTTCCCACTTTCTACTGCCTCCTTTTTTGGTATCATTATTTTTAAATCTCCCTTCCTGAAGTCTGCACAAGTTCCCAGGGCCTCACTGATCAGAGCTCTTTTTTAAAGGCCTTACAGCCTGGTGGTGGTGCCCCCAAACAAGGTGAATCCTGAGCACTACATCTTCTCTCCCTTTGGGGTCCTGCATGTACATCCCGAGGAGGACACTGAGGCCATGACGCTGGGTACCTGGCACCGCCACTCTGTCCTCTGGCAGCAGCTCCAGTTCATCCCATTCTTCAAGAATTGCCTCTTACGCAAGGCCTGGGCCTGGTAGGTGATGGCGGGTGTGGGATTTGGGGGGAAGTGTTGCAGAGAGCAAGCTGCATGTCACCACTGCCCTCTGGTCTGCAGCTGGAAGAAGACTGTGACGTTTCAAGGCCTGCACCGGTGCCGGGCGTTCCTGGGGAAGCACCTGCTCTTGGCCGTGCCCCACTTTGGAGCAGCGCTGCTCCACATCAGCAGGTGAGGTCTTCAAAACACAACTTTGATGGATTTTAAAAATCATTTTATAAAAAGGAATAACACGTTCCTTGTAGAAAACTTGGAAAATACAAAGAAGCACAAAGGAAAACAGTTTTAACCTCTCCACCCATAAATAACCACTAAACATTTTGTTGCACAGCCTTCTATCTTTTTTCTATCACACATATAATTGTGATTAAACTTTACGTATTGTTAAGTAACCAGTTTTCCCCCTCTAAATAATATATTCTGAACACATCACCATACAATTATGTATTTCTACATCAGGTTGCCCCAGATCACACAATTATTAAGTATCACATCTGGGGATCTAACTCAGGGGTTTGAATCTGAACTGTCTGCTCTTTCCATGGTATTACTGTGATTCTTTCTTTGGAAAAGCTTAGTTATTCCTATTTTCAGTACTCTCTTGCTTTCTCTGTACTTCTCAGCCACTCCAATTATCTCCTGTGACAGGAGCTATGGAAGAAATGCCGTGGGTTAGGTGCAAGACATTACAAAGTGCGGGGACTAACCTGGAGATCACACCGGACTAGGACAGTCATACTCGGTTCCAATTGACTGTTGCCATTGGGAATATAGGTCCAGAGTGTCAGCTACCTTATTTTTCAGGATTTCCTGGAAATCCACATTTTTTGGTAAAATTTCTTAATTTTACCTGGTTAGCTCAAATTTTTATTAAAACACTATGCTGGCCAACTCTAAGTGGTACATCTGGAAACCGTTTCAGTCTGTATCTGGTCCATGGGCTACCATAAAGTTTGTAAGCTATGCTCTGGGCATCCTCCAGTCTAGCCTCATCATGATGGTGTTAATGAAAAGCTCAAGGGCTTGAAGGCTGGACTGATTGGAATTTAAATCCTGGATGCTAGCAAGGGACTTTGCTCTTTGGACCCTCAGTTTCCTAATCTGAAAACTGGAGATAAAGATTTCCGCTACACAGCTGTAGTGAGAATTAAGTGAGATTGTGAATATAAAGTACCATGTTCAGTGCCTCTTAATAGGTACCGAATAAATGACACCCATTCCGATCATTTTCTGCTATTGGAGGTCTTTCATCTCTTTCAAGGATATTTAGAGATGCAGTGTTTTCAGGGCGGGGGTGGGGGGAGAGTGGATAACAGAAGTGGGTTTCCTCAGGGATCGTCAGCCCGTAGGGAAGTTGCAGGTTGATCACCTTTGATTCTAAAACTCACCTATCCATCTAGTCCTCTAAGGCCCTCAGCTTCCCCTGTTCCAAGGAGGAAGCCTCTGTAGTCTCCCCTTCTAAGTCAGACCTTGAGATCTAGTTGACCCTCTCTCCTGACAGAAAGGTCACTCAGTGTAAATTTGCACATACCCCAGGCCTCTCCCAAAGAATTTCCCAGCCAGCAACTCCTTGGGCTTGGAATTCTTCCAGAGAACTCTCAAGAGGAAGCTGTCACTGTCAGTCACTGGGAATATTATACTCTTTTTAAACCTTTGTTCATTCTGAGGTGAGCTGGGCTAGGAAGAGGGCAAATATGTCCAAGGGGAGAGGGCTGAGATGCCGGCTCTGACCCGCGTGGCCCTTGATTCCAGGCTTCTGCAGGAGCTGCACTCTGTGTCCTGGCTCCCCCAGGAGCTAGATGAGTGCTACGAGCTGCTGGACCTGAAGCAGGCGCTGGCCAAGGAGAACCACAAGGCCCTGCAGCTGCTTTCTCGCTGCCTGCGCCTCTGCACGTCCATCCTTCACATGGTAAGAGGCTCCAGTTTAGTGTAAGCCTTTTCTCCAAGCTGAGCTTGCCTGAATTCCAGCCTCCTCTTGGCTTAAGCTTCTCCTGGGATCCCCTGGGTGGCCTGGACTCTGCAGCTGCCTCAGAGCCATTGTCCTGCCCAGCAAGAGTAGTGTCTGCTCTGGGCTGGTTGGATCAGCAGCAGGTGGGCAGAGACTTGGACTCAGCCTTTCCCTCAAGGTTGGTTCTGGCCTTGAGCGGGGAGGAGAGGAACATAACAGCACGTATTTTTCAGTGGTTTGCGCCGGGGACACTAGGGAATCTGAGAGCTGGAATCCGGATCTTTCGTGCTGCTGGGCTTATCTTTAACCCTGTCTTGCAACTTTGGCAGGTACTGTGGCTGGTAGAAGCATCTGGTGACCGCATCCTTCCTAACTTTGCCTGCTTTGCATCTGTGGCATGTGCCTCCTGCTGAGGGCTCTGGAAGGCCCTGCTATGTACTTGCCTCTTGCCCATGACCTCTCATCATAGTTTTTTGTCTGCCAGGTGGGGCTGGATATGCACAAAGCTCTCCGGCTAATCACCATCTGCAGATAGTCCGGTCCTGAGAGAGAGGACGCACCCAGATTTTGTGAAAATGAGAAACGATGCGGAGGAGGCCCTGGTACATTCATGCAGGGAAATGAATGGTCTCTATCCACCAGACAACGGCTGGGCCTGGCATTGCACTGGACTGAGTGGGGCGGAGGTGGGGGCGAGGTGCTCCAGGGCCTTTCCCTGCCTCCCTGGTCCTAAACCCCGCCTTTGTTTCAATGTCACAAAACTAGTTACAACTCTTTTATGACTAGTCAGTAGTTTATTTTTTTATGAAGGTATAATTTACATGCAGTAAACTTCCAGTGTACAGTTTGTTGAACTATTTGCATATATATATACACATCCATGTAACCGACCCGGGTGTAGAGAAGAGAACAGTTCATCGCCTCGGTAAGCTCCGTGGTACCTCTCTCACCAATACCCCCCGAAGGTAACCACTACTCTGACCTCGGTTACCATAGATTAATTTTGTCTAATTTTGAATTTCACATGAATGAAACCAGACAGCATATCAGCATATGCTCTTCTGTTTGTCTTTTTTTTTTTTTGACTCAACATTATGTTAGTGAGATTTATCCATAATGTTCCAGGCAGCAGTAGGACACTCCTGTAAGCTATGTTGTGTTTTCCGGTATGAATGTACCACAGTTTGTTAATTCTCCTACTGATCGATCTAATTTTCGCTATTATGAATAATGCTGCTATGAACTTTCTGGTCCATGTCTTTTGGTGGACATAAACACTTATTTGTTCGGGGCATATATTCCAGGAGTGGTTGCTCGAATATGGTATTTGTATGTCTCGCAATGCCAAACAGTTTTCCAGAGTGGTTGTACCAGCTTATAGTCCCACTAACGACGCCTAGGAGACTTCCAGTTGCCTATGGTTTCACCAGCACTTGGTATTGTCAGAGTTTTTAATTTTAGCCAAGCTGATGGGTGAACAATGGTATCTTACTGTGGTTTTAATTTTGTTTCTATTAAACCAGTGATGTTGAACACCTTTTCGTATGTTTATTGGCCATGTTGTACCCTCTTCTGTGAAGTAGCTGACTCTCTTGCTCAGTTTTAGTTGGGTTGTCTGTCTCTTTCCTATTAATTTGTAGGAGTTCTGTATGTATTCTGAATATGAGTCCTGTATCGAAATTATGCATTATAGATATTTTCTGCCAGTCTGTGGCTAACCTTTTTACTATTTTAATGATGTCTTTTGACTAACAGAAGTTCTTAATTTTCTTGAAGTTCATTTTATCAATCTTTTTTTAGTCCATGCCTTTTGACCAGGTTTAAGAAATCTTTGCCTACCCCCAAAGTCATGTAGCTATTCTCCTATGTTTTCTGAAAGAAATTTTATTGCCTTTTTAATTTAGGTCTATGGTCCATGTCAAATGAATTTTTATGTATGGTGTGAAGTAAAAGTCAAGTTTTATTGTTCCTATTTATGAAAAAGACTGACTTTCACCACTTAATGAAAGTGATGTCTTTCTTAAATCAGGTGGTTATATAAGTTAGTATGTGTGGATCTGCTTCTGGATACTTTTCTGTTCCACTAGTCTATTTGTCCAGACTGTCTTAATTATTGTAGCTTTATGATAAGTCTTGATATGTGATATTGCAAGTCCTACAACTTTTTGTTATTTTCTAATAAAGTTTAGAATTAGCTTGTTAATTTCTGCAAAGTAATTTATTGTTTTTGTTTTTTTTATTGTCTTGCTTTGAATCTATAGATCAATTGGAGGAGAGCTGATATCTTAACAGTATTTTATTCCCTAATCCATGCACATGAGTCTCTTAATTTATTTTGATTTCTTTAATTTCTCTTAACAAAGTGTTATGGGTTTCCTATAGAGGTCTTGAATATATTTCTTTAGACTTATTACTAGATAATTAGTATTTTCTTGTTGCCATTATAAATGGTATTTTAAAACATTGTTTTCTAATAGTTGCTACGCCATACACAAAAATTAATTCATGGTGGATAAAAGACTTAAGTGTGAATGGAAAATCCCAAAATCTTTCAGAGGTAATATTATCTCAGAGTTTCTTAAACAAAATATAAAAAATTATAAGCCATAAAGAGTCAATAAATGTGTCTATATTAAATTTACTTAAATTTACTTTTTAAAAAGCACCATAAAAAGAGTGAAAAGACAAGCAAGTGCAACACGTGGAGCCACTTTCTGTGCTGCTATGTGGAATTGAAAATGTCCCTGTTGGCGGTCACCCCAAGTGTGTGTTTGGGGGTGCATAGGGGAAGGGGAGGATCAGGAATCATCGCAGCTGGTAACCAAATTGTTACTGAACCAGTTTATTATCTGTGCTAAAGAAAAGCATGCTGCCGCCCATTAAACTGTAGCACTACTGAATAACTAAAATAGATTTGAAACATTAAAGAAATAATATTGAATGTGAGTGTTTAGTAGATACCTTATATCAATTTTTAAGGAAGCTCTCATCAATTCCTAGTTTGCTAAGAGGTTTTATCATGAGTGGGTGTTGAATTTTGTCCAATGATTTTCTTTTCTATTTCTATTTAGGTGATCATGGGATTTTTCTCCTTTAGTCTATCAATGTGGTGAATTGTCAGTGTTAGACCACCTTTGCTTTACTGGAATAAACTCATTTTCTTTCTTTCTTCCTATTTCTTTCTTGTGTAACTTTATTTTTATATCATTTCAAAGTTACTAGGAGAGTTGCAAGGATAGTCTGATAAACTCTCATATATTTTTTTTACCCAGATTATCTTGTCCTATTTATTTTTTCATTCATGCCTTTTCTTTCTGTATGTATATATTCATTATTTTCCTGAACTCTTTGAGGGTAAGTTGCAGATATCAAATCCCTTTACCCCTAAATATGCCAGTGTGTTTTTCCTAAGAAGAAGGATATTTTTCTTCTATTATTACAGTACAGTGATCAAAAATTAGAAGATTTCACTTTGATATAATTCTGTTATCTAACTCAATCCTTTAAAAAAGTTTTCCAATTATGCCAACAGTGTCCTTTATTGCTGTGTTTTTTCCTGCTCAGGATCCAACCCAGAATGATGCATTGCATTTGGCAGTCAACCATCTCGAGTGCCTTTCATATGGAACAGTTCCTCTGCCTTTTTTCAGCTCCTTGTCTTACTATGGGGCAACCCTACAATATGACATAGGTTCCAAAGGCGCCTCTCCCTCCAGGTCAGACCAAGAAAAGCCTTAGCTGAGCTCTTGCTTGGCCCTTTCCCCTTCCCTGTTTTGCTTCCCTCTCTCCCTTAGGTTTCCTGAAAATAGTTCACATTTTCAGGAAACACATCACATTTCAATATATCACATTTCCCCAAATTCCTGTCTTAGGGTCTGCTTCTAGGGAACTTAGCCTGAGAAGGTGTATTAGACCAAGTCCAGGCATTGTTTTACTCAGTTATTCTGTAGCCACAATGATTTGTCTTATCCACTGATTCATTGTTTCTGAGAGATGTACAGGGTGGAGCAAAAGTAGGTTTACTGTTGCTTGTATGGAAAATAACACAATAATTAATAAATAATAATACAAGAATAAACCGTTTTGCCTACTCACAACTGTAAACCTCCTTTTGCCCCACCCTGTTTGTTAAAAGTCTCCTCCTATGACTAGATTTGTTCATTTCTCCTGATATTCTTTCATTTGCAACACATGTTTCAAAATCATGTTGCCAGGCGCGTAAAGGTTCACAGCAATATTCCTTGGTGACGTTACTGATATGAAAAAGCCTTTATTCTTGTTACTGCCTCTCTATGAGAGTCCTCTCCTGCTTGATCTTTTCTATCCCTTTGTTTCCAGCCTCCCTTTGTTATTTTTGTTTTATGTGTATCTCTTATAAATGGCTGGGAAACGTTTGGTCTGAGAGTCTGCCTCTTGCAGTAGGTTTATCTCACTTATTATGGTTACTGATAGCTTTGGGCTTATTTTTCCCATTTTGTTTTGGTATTTTCTATTTCCTTTGGATCTTCCTTACATTTCTTGTCTTTTATTGAATCGTTTACATTTTTGTTGCTATCACTGTCCTCCAATGATTTGGATATTATACTTTTATTCTTCTCATGGTAGCCCAGGAACTGCTCAGTGCCTACTCACCATTCCTAGTTTTAGGATCTTGATTTTGTTTATTTTCACAGACGCGTAGCTTGGAGGAAGTCATGTAACTTAGATCTGGGCAACGAAACGTAAGTGGGAGTCACTGGGAAAACTTTTCAAAAGAGGCAGATCCAACTGGAATGTCCTTTTGGACCTTCAGTCCTGTGTTACCACCTGACCCTTAGATAAAATTTCTGGTAATAGAGAAACCATCTCACGCGATAAAGGTGAAAGTCATATTAAGGATGGAGGAGGAAGACAGGAGCTTTGTTCTGATTGATATTATTGGGCCAACATGCCATTTAGGGACTTCATATTGCATTAAAGAAATAAACCTTTTACTTGCTTAAGCCGCACTTTTCTAGCCTTCTCTTATTTGCAGCTGAATGCATATATGCTTATATACCTGCCCAACAGGTGCTGCTGTTCAACTTACATTTTTATAACTATGACTCTTTCATGTCTTTTTCTAAAAGCACCTTCTCGGAGAGTCCTTCTCTGGTCACCCTGTTTAAAATTGCAACCCCCTTTATCATCACCAGCACTCCTGATCCCTCTTTCCCTGCTCTGTTGTTACTGTGTTTTTTTTAAATAGCACTCATTACATTTTTACATACAATATAAATTACCTTTTTACTGTTTATTGTATCTTCCCACAAGAGGGTAGGGATTGTCACCTGTCTTATTCACTAATATATCTCTAGTGCTTGTTATAGGGCATGCCATATAGTAGGTGCTCACTGAATATTCATTGAGTGAATGAATGTCAAGGGTGACTTTGTACCCATGTCTTTCTCCCAAGCAGAATAAGAACCTTAGCACTCTCCTAATTTCCTTTCCCTCTTCTCTTTCTCTCTCCACCCCCTACCCTTTTCATTGTGCTCATATTGATATCTCTTGGAATTTTAATTCTGACTTCTTATGAGCATTCTTGTTTTACAGTCTACCCCTTTGGAATTAACAGTATGTTTCACAAATGTCTTTGCTCATTTAATTGTCTTATAGACCGCTTCACCCTCTTATATTATTTTTCTCTGTCAGAAATATACTACTTTTGTTGGGTGGGGGTTTTTCCCAGAGAAAATCTGTAGATGGTAAATTTGTGGAGTCTTTGTATATCTAAAAATGTCTTCATTCGCCCTCAAACATCAGCGATACTGTGGCTGGATACAGAATTCCAGGTTTGAAAGTTGTCCTCAGAACCTCGAGGATACTGCCCCTAGTGGCGAGGTTTTGCATTGCATTCTGAGGATGTTCTGTTGTAGTTACCGTTCGTCTGGTTTTATCTTACTTGGCACTCGGTGAGCTCTTTCATGTGAGGTGATATGTTCCTTCTACAAATATTTACTGTGGAACTGCCAGTGCCCAGCACTGGGTTAAGCAATAAAGGAGTGAAATGAGGAGTAACAGAGGCCTCCTCCTCGAAGAATTTACAGCGTAGCGGACGAGTCACACAACCAACTAGATGATGAGGAGGCGCTGGACTTGGGCGGTGAACTGGGAGGCACTCGGCACTGGAAGTGCCGCTGGCGCATAGACGAGAACATCTTGCCAAGTCTAAAGGCACGTGTGTGGGCGAGGCGCCCAGGCCAGGCCTCCACTGCCTTGTGTCTGGGTCTCAGAGACTGGGACCTGAGCTCAGGGTTAGCAGAAAACAATTCACAGACACCACTTAGTTCTAGTCACAAGCTCTATTGAGCATCAGAAGTGACAGGAGAGCAGCAAGGACAAAAGTCCATTCGACCAGGAGTTTCTTCCTCGCGTCTCCCTTCTGTCCCTCAGCAGGACAGGCCTCGAGGGGTGATAGCTGCCAGCAGCCTCTGCAGGCTGAGAACCCTCCCAGGCGTGAGAAGAACCCACGAAGAAGCTCCCAGACTTTTGTCTCACATACCCCCTGCCTCCCAGAGAAAGCCTATGTCAGTGCACAAAGACCGCTCCGGCTACCACACAGGCCAATGCTCTGCTAGTCAGCAGGCCACACCACCCCGGCCCAGTGGTTAAAGTCCATGCCTGGAATTACTGTGGCCTTACTTATCCTAACTTTCTCTTTCTTTGTCACGTCCTGCGAGTGAGGTGGTGGTTGCATGTGTGGTGGTGGGCAGGCAGTCAAGGGCCAGATGGCGGGGAGCGGATACTGACATCTAGCCCCACACCCAGGAAGGATCTGACCTGTGCCATGTGGGCCCCTCTAGTCATACATGCACAAATTTCCTACTTGAGTTCCACCCTGGGGGCTTTTAGTAGACAGGCCTGACCTATCAAATTAGCACACTGTGGCTTCTCAATATATGTTCTCCATCTCACATCTTCTCTGGTCACTTAAGCATGTCTGGGGCTAATCTCTTCTAAAAAGCAGCCCTCTGTGTGTATATCTAGGTTCTAGTTTTTCAGCTCCAAGACCTGAGAGTTTTGCACAGACCTATGGGTGGCCAGTTTGCTCTCCATTCCCCTTTCTCCAGGGAGTTTTTTATTTTCTATGCTGGCAGGTTCATGAGGATACATATCAAATGCAACAGGGCCTACAGGAGCGAGTGAAGAACTGCGAGAGGATCAGAACAGGCCAAGGCTCCATATACCTTCAGAAGATGCAGCGCCAGCATCTGGAGCGGAAGCTGAAGCGGGCAGAGACCTGGCTGCTGCAGCTGGGACAGCTGGCCCGCCTGGTGAACTTCATGATTTGCCAGAGCCTCGTGTCTATCATAGAGGAGAAGATAACCTCTTTTGTGGCCAACATCCTGCAAGTGAGATGGTGGTGGCATGTGTGGCAGTGGACAGGCAGCCAAGGGCCAGATGGCAGGGAGCGTGTACTGACATCTAGCCCCACAACCTCTCCTGACCCTTTTCTATAGGCCCCAAGGGAGAATCCCTTTCTCTCAGCACAGCTGATCTTTGACAGTGGTGGCCAGCTGTCTCAGGAACCCTGTATTGAAAGCATGATTGAGATTCTAACTGGGCACCTACAGTTTATCAAGGCCTCTGCTCTGAAGGTATTATGGATTGGGCAGGAGCTGGTCAGAGGAATTCCCAAATTTTATCCTCTAAGAAGTTCTCAGTGAGGATTTGAACCCTCATTGTTTTCCATTTCTGCCCCTTCCCCATATGGTGGCATGAAGGTAATGCAGTCTACAGACCTGAAGACTCCCCCGGATTCCCTGTATCCTGAAGGTATTTAAGGAGACTTAGGCAGGGGGTAGGAAGGGTGGAAGCGGGGGAGGGCACATGCAGTGTGCTAATGGCACTGCCTTAGAGTCAGGCCTTGGGTGTGGATGGAGCAGTTCTAACCTGAGTACTTCCTTCCCCACAAGAGTGGCATAAACAATGAAAACAATTTTCTCACATAACAAGCAGTCACAAGGTAGGTGCTTCCAGGGCTGCTTTGGTGGCTCAAATGTCATCAAGTACCAGGCTCTTTATACCCTTTCCTAACTCCTTCCTGGGTTTAGCTGCAGGTAAGGGCAGATCCTCTTAGAAAGGTGCATGTGGTAAGAGAGGCTGCAATCAAAAATGTCTTTTCGCCCAGCCTGGTGTGGCTCAGCGGTTGAGCGTCAACCTAGGATCTAGGAGATGGAGGTTCAATTCCCGGTCAGGGCACATGCCCAGGTTGTGGGTGTGCAGGAGGCAGCCGATCAATGACTCATCATTGATGTTTCTATCTTTCTCTCTCTCTCCTTTCCTCTCTCTGAAATTAATAAAGACATAGTTAAATAAATAAATACATAATAACAAAAAAGTATTTTCATCCTCAGACTTACTGCCTCATAGCTGCAAGACAAGCTACAGTTCTAAGCATTCCATTCTCAAGCAAAACCAGGGGGAAGGGGGAAGCAAGGTTGGAGAGAGACAAGAGCCAAAGGAGGGAGGCGAGGTAGAGAGGACTCAATCGGGCAGTGAGATCTGATGGTGACCTGGGCTGGGGAGAGGGACAGGCAATGGTAGAGATGGTGAGAATGGTTGCATTCTGGATATATTTTTAATGTAGAGCCAACAGGATTTTGTGAGAGCTGGGTGTGTTGTTGTGAGGGAGGAGTCAAAGATGACTAGTTTTTGAGTGGAACAGCTAGAAGAATGGAGTTCCCATTTGCTGAAGTTGGAAGACTGCAGGAAGAGCAATTTTGGGAAGGAGAAATCAGAGCTCATTTCTGGCCCTGTTAAGTTTGAGGTACCTTTTAGACATGCAAGTAGAGATGTAGTGGAGTAGGTAGTTGTTTAAATGGGATTGGCATTCAGGGAGAGATCTGAGCTAAAGATAAATTTGGAAGCAAATAGATGGTATTTAAAACCATGAGTCTGGATGAGCTCACTTAGAAAGTGAGTACAAGGTAAGAGAAGAGATCTGAGGACTGAGCTGGGGTGGGGAGGGTCACTATAATGTTTAGGTATTGCTAGTAAGGATCTAATTTCTAAACATTTTGATGCTTCCCCCCCCCCTTTTTGGTATAAAGTTTTAATGCAAATATTGAAATTGTCAATTAACCATTTCCTAAGAAGTTAAAAGGGAGGCCAGTTTCAAGGCTGTCTTGAGGAAGATACCGAGAACTGGCACGCTCAATATCCTTTCCACTTCCTCCTGCAAACTGCACTTCTCAGACCCCCTTGCAGCTAGAGTGCTTTTGTTTTTCAGCTCTTCCATGTACTTGCAACCCACTTAATAATCTATAAATTCCTTCCTGCTTACACTAGCTAGAGTAAACTCTCTTCTCTCCACCTGAACCCTAACTAATAAATTCCCTCTGTGGGTCTGGTGTACTGTGTTTGTAATATAGATGTACATGTACCTCTCTCATGAGCAGTGTGTGTGTGTGTGTGTGAGAGAGAGAGAGAGAGAGAGAGAGAGAGGTCGTGTGGGGGCCCTGGAGGGCACTCATGGACAGTTGTGGTATGTGTCCCACTAGGAGAAGATGAAGAGGAGGACTCGAGCATGGAATCCCTGATGCCCAAGTCCCAGGGCCAGCCCAGCGATGCTGTGCATATCTTCTGTGGCCCGAATGTAGGATTGGTGTGGCCCTGGAAGTCTCACACAATCACTGAAGCCCTGGAGGTCCGTGGATACCGGCTGCGGGGCCAGTACTTACCCCCCAGTTACAAACAGCTGCAAGAGGACCTGGATAACAGCCCTAGAATCCAGCAGGCACTGACTATACAACAGGCCCTGCTGAAGGTGAGAACAGTGGCTTAAGGTGTGGGAGGATGCCTACCAATTCCCATTAAAGTCATCCCCCTCTGCCCTGAGCACCTCATCTGCCCCTAGGACATGCTGTGGGAGGTGCAGGAATTCTGCAGGGAGCATCACTGGATGACAGGCATTCATGAGTTCCTGCAATCCTGGGGGCCTCAGAAGCTGGAGTCTATGAGAGGCTGTCCTATCAAGAACTACGTGATGCTGGTGAGCCACCTGAACATTTGGCAGAACCGCATCTCTAATATACCTGTCAAGTTGATCACAAAAGGCAAGTTGCTGCTGCTGAGCTGCCACGATGTGCAGGCCGACGTGGGTGAGTGCTGTTTCCCCTCCCTTCTTTTCCTTCTGCCTCCTTACCTCATCCACATGGCTCCTTGGGCCTGGAATGTCCACCAGGGACCTTAGCTGCACGCCCTTCAGTGGCCCCGTAGAGCTTCCCAGAGCCCCAGGTCCCAGCCCCTTCCCTGTGCAGCTGCAGGTATGACCATTGGAGAGGACAGCCTCCATCTGTTTGGGCTCTGCTGCGTCCCCATACTCCTTTGGGATCAGGTTCCTGTCACCTGACTCTTTCTGTCCTTGTGGCATAGAGGTGGTTCAACCAAACGTAACTGAGAACCATCTTAGTTTCCATTTCCGGCAGAGACGAGATACTTTCGGGCCTATGCTTTCTTTATGAGGGTGGGAGGCCTTGGAGCTGGGGCCCGAAAGAGTCTGCTTGAAAGTACTTGCCTGCCCAGCCCTCCCTGCCTTAGCTCTCCAGCAGGTGAAGCACAAGCCAAACCTGCCCCCCTCTTTCCCGGCCCTGTTCTAAAGGGGGGGCAGTGTCAGGCTGGCAAGGGAGAAACAGGGAGGGCCTGTGGTTGGCCTGCTTTCGTTCTGATCCAGCTAGGGGCAGCCTCTGCTCCCGGGTTACTTGGAAAGCCTACGTTCTTTCTGGTTTGTTGGCTTTTTGAGCCTTAGTCCAGGACCAACTGGCTTCTTCATAAAAAAAGAGCAGAAGGGGAGAGGAAGCGCGGGGTCCGGAACCCTGGCTCCGTTCCTCAGAGTTGTGTGGCCTCAGGGTACTGAGCGGCAGTGTTACTTGTAACGTGGAGAAAATAATGAAGCCACTTGGGCCATGGAAGGGGGTTAAATGAGGTTTTCCTCGGGATACCCCAGCTTCGACCATGGCGCGCAGTAGGCGCTGGCTCTTTTTCGCGTCACCTTTTCTGTCTGTGCTCGTCCTTCTTGCTGACCTAGTTTCATCCTCCCACCCCCGCCCCTCTCCTCTCCGGGGCTCCCCTGGACAGCGCATGATACAGTCGCCCACCCCGGTGAGGGGCCCTCGGCAGAGGCTTGACCTCACCCTTTGCCCTTTACTCTCCGAGAGCCTCCACATCCAGGCTGTCGCCAGATCAGTTCCACTCCTCTGCCTCCTAAATATCCCTCAGATCTGTTTCCCCGCCCATGTCCAACGCGACCTTCAGGACCGGGTACTGTACCAGCCCTTTGCTCCTTTACGCCGCACAGTGTCGCTGCCGAGCTGCCCGCTGCGGCCGCCTGCTGCGGGGCCCCAGAGCCTCGGGGCGGCAAAGGGCAAAGGCCTAGCTCCTGTCGGGAGCCGAGGGAACGTTTGGAAAAGGATCGGTTAGCACCCTTGTGTCCTCTCCAACCCTGGTGCCCCTCGGCAGGTTCCCTTCCTCTTGGTTTCCTCAGCCCTTAGTGCCCAGTCCTCTTGGTCACATCCTCCAAGACTCTTAAAAGGCTGTACCCCGAATATCTCAGTTATGTACCCCTGGAACTCACTATCCCACCTTCCAGTAGAAGAAATGCTCACAGGGGGTGAGCTGATTTACTTTTCACCCCTCAGACGTAAAATAAAACAGAGTGGAGCCAGGTTGCCTGAGTTTGAAACCTTGCTCTGCCATGGTGTGAAGTTGTTAAAGTTACTTAACCTCTCTGAGCCTCACTCCGTTTGCTTATCTGCAAAATAGGGACAATAATAGTATCTACCTCAACAGGTTTTTGTGAAGATTAATTGGGTTAATACAGGTAAAGCAGCTGACATTGTATCTGGCATGTAGTAATACTGTATTTCATGGTATACTTTATAGTACCATATTTCTATATTGTGTTTTGCTTTTCTGTGCATTGTTTTAACATCCCTGAATTTAAGGAGGTGTATTATGATGGCAGCATGTCAGAGTTTAGGTAGCATCACTTTTTTTCTTTTTCGTGGTCTGTAAAATAATGGTGCCTCTTACAATTAGTAGTATCTTAGATTTGATGAGGTCCCATATTGCTATTTTTCCTGCCCGCAAAGACAATGGGGTTGCTCATATCGCCAAAGGCAGCTTCCCTGATCATCTCTTAGCCCAGTGTCTTCTTTCCTTTAACCCTTAAACATAAAAGGCAGAGTACATACTCTTCTCGGTATCTCTTCTACTAGAGCAGAAGCAGTAAGATTCCCCAAACAGAAAACTCATCTGTGGTGGGGCATTCTGCTGTTCATGACCATGTCACCCCCATACCCTTGCACATGCTGTTTCATCTGTGTGGTGTGCCCTTGCCCCTTGGAGCACGAACTACTCAACACAGGCAGCTCCAGGGTTCCCCTTTCTGAGGAGGCTTTTCCCAGCCTCCTCAGGCTTCCTCTTCTCTCACTATGCCAGGTTGAGGAATCCCGGGCACTTATCACACTGGTTTTTGATGACCTGTTTATATATCTGTCTCTGACACCATATTGTAAGCTTCTGAAGCTGGAAACCCTTTCTGTCCCTCCCTCCCTCCCTCCCTCCTGTATGTCAGTGCCCAGCACAGCCCCAGTGCATAGCAGCTGACTGGACACTGGGCAGAGGTCCAGTAAGTGTTCAGTGAGCGAGGGCACAAATTCATGGTCTGGCACCCCCTTCCCACTCCCGCTCGGGGCTCACAGCACTCCCCCAGCACCCCTTTTTGGCGCACCCTTTAACCCCTAACCCTCTCCTCTGTTCAGACACCAAACTGAAGAACATCAGGAAGGAAATTCTCGCCCACGTACAGAGTGAGTGCTGGAGCCGCAGCCAGCACCTGATGAAAGAGCTCAGAGATTTCGTCGAGATCTTCCAAACCATCAGCTCAGACATTCGTACCATTGCCAGCTGCTCCCAGAAGGTGAGCTCTCCCCCTCCTCCCTTCCCAGCCTACCCAGGGCCCATCCTGCTCAAATGCTCAGCACGCTCTTCAGGACTCAGCCGAGCTCCCCATTGGGCTTGATGCCCTTAGACTGTGCTCATACGCATGACCTGCCCTTGCTGACTCTCACCCTGCTCTCCTGGCTCAGTCTCCTCAGGGTGGTGGGTGGTCCTGGTGTGACGAGAGAGACACAGTCCAGGTTTCAGAGACAAAAGATCTGCTGTGTGGGATAGGTCAGATAGGGATCTGTGGCCCTGTCATCAGCGTAATGACTTGGTGGGGGAGGAACTGTGCTTTCTGCAGAGAGACGTGGGTCAGATGGGACGTGATCTCAGATTGCCGCTGCTCCCAGTGGGTTAAAAGGTGGCTGCTGGAGCCTGGAGCCTCCAGAAGGTGGGAGTGCCCCTCAGGGATGGGCCCAAAGAGGTGCCCGGGGTTGGGGGGGACGGGGTGTTGGTCTCATGCTGCGGGCCTTGCAGTTGAACGAGGCCCATGATCAGTACGGCAAGCTGGAGGAGCGAATGGAATACATCCGGTCACTCCACGAACTCATCCGCAACCACTTCAGCCTCTTCAGTGCCGAGACCGAGGCTCTGGACATCTTGGTAAGAAGGGAGTTCAGGAAGTCACCCATCCCTCCCTGTCCCCCACCCCCACAACCACATCCACTTGACGGCCCTGTGCTGGCCCCACAGCTCCTGGATCTGTGGGAGGCATTTCAGTTTGAGAGGAGCCAGGCCTCGGAGTTCCTGCTCAGCAAGCAGCATTCCCTCGTGCCCAAGCTGCAGCAGCTGATGGGGGCAGCCTTGGCGGAGCTGGAAGGTCTGATCCAGAAGGCCCTGTCCAGCCCCTTCATGGACCCTGCACAAGAGCAGAAGAGCATGGAGAGCCAGCTCATCTCCCTGGAGCATCAGTTCCAGGACACCGTCAGCCGCCTTAATGAACTGCGCCATGCCTACTCCACCTTCACTGGTACTAAGGGTCCCCGCCCCCTCTCCCCCCACCCTGTGATAGACTCTGCAGCTGAGATGAGGGTTTGGACTCAAGGTCCTGTGTGTTCTGGGTGACTCTAAGCAAGTTTTGGGAATCTTACGCCTTCATTAGTCTCTTTTATGTGTGAAAATTGCAGGAAAAAAAATGTTCACACATTGGATATAGTACGGTGCTCAGGGCAGGGAGATGGGACTCACAGTGTGCGAAGGAAGAATGTTCCTTTAGAATGTGCTGGGGTCGGAGGCTGAAATCCTGTGCAGCTGGATGCAAAGCTGTCCTTGTTGCAGTACTGACCCTTTGTGTAGCCCTGGAGGCCCGGTAAACATCCGTCTTCATGCTCCACGGAGGTCTTCACTGCTTCCAGCCCGTGTGGAATAGAGGCCTCACTGCTCCACAGGAGACCAGGGCACAACTACTGGTCTTACCTCTTCCATGCAGTGGTGGAGCTCGTTCCCTTCTACCCACAAAGAACTGTGTGGGCTCAAGTTTTTTCTTTCTCAGATACAGTCACTTCATCAGTCCTTCAGAGGGCACATTGTTTCCCAGTTGCTTCTTGGCCAGCCACACTATTACCATCTCTGCCCGTGGGGATCCCCGGTCCAGGGCCATTGGCCAAATGTGAGATGTTGGACACTGGGACCATCCTCAAGCAAGTGACTTTTTCTTTTTCTTTTTTTTTTTTTAAACATATCTTTATTGATTTCAGAGAGAGGAAAGGAATGGGGAGAGAGATAGAAACATCAATGATGAGAGAGTCATTGATCGAGCCCACAATCCGGGCATGTGCCCTGACCGGGAATCGAACCCTGATCTCCTGGATCCTAGGTTGATGCTCAACCGCTGAGCCACGCCCGGCCAGGCAAGGGACTTTTTCTTTGGCTAAGTATCAGGAGACCCTCATCCCATACTCTGACATAGACCGCAGACCTTCCCTTTCTTGCTGGGTTTGGAGATGTTTGTTAAAAAAGCAGAGTAGTGGACGTCGGCCCTGTGGCGCTAGGCCCAGGAAACCCCACAGCACTGCTTTTACTTCCTCCTTCTATCCCTGTCTCCTCGCCGGGCTCCCAGGTTTTGTTAACATCATCTAGGGTCTTACATCCAGATAATTAATACCACTCTTTATTTTTCATTATGTATCTTTCACAAGTTACTTTTTTAAAAATATGTTTTCATTGACTTTAGAGAGAGAGGAAGGGAGAGGGAGAGAGATAGAAACATCGATGAGACATCAATTGGCTGCCTCCTGTGCTCCCCCTACTAGGGATCGAGCCCACAGCCCGGGCACGTGCCCCGATGGGCAGTCAAACCAGGGACCTCTCGGTTCACGGGACAACGCTCAACCTCTGAGCCACCCCGGCTGGGCTTACTCATTACTTTTGACATTTGCTTTGTTTTATAACCATGTTAACAACTATTTTGACATCTGAGGATTCATGGTTTTGTTTATGCATTACCACTTAAAAAAAACACACACATATTTTTATTATTTTTATTTTTTTCTTGGATGGCTGTAATGTTTGAGGGTTTTTTTTTCTAAGAAGGACATTAGAGCGGTTAACATTTCTAAGGTCCTATGCTGAGAATGACTTTCTAATGTCTTTATATCACAGCTTGGCTAAATATTGAGTTCTGAGGTTTTCTTCAAATTTATATATTGTTTCATTGTCTTCCAACATGCAGCATTGTGGACAAATCTGATATCAATCTGATTTTTCCTTTGTAGGTAATGTGCTTATCTATTATTTGATAATGGTTCTTATATTTGCCCTTGTCTCCTTCCAGAATTCTTATTTGTATATTGGGTGTTCTGGATCTCTCCTCCATTTATTTTATTTTATCATCACTCATTTCTTTTTTTTTTAATCCTCACCGGAGAATAGTTTTCCCATTGCTTTTTCAGAGAGAATTGAAGCGAGAGAGAGGAGAGAGAGATAAATATTGATATGAGAGAGACACATCGATTGGTTGCCTCCCACACAGGCCCAAACCTGGGCTGGGGACCTGGGGCTGGGAATTGAGCCTGCAACCGAGGTACGTGCCCTTGGCTGGACTCGAACCCAGGACCCTTCAGTCTGAGGGCCAATGCTCTAACCACTGAGCAAACTGGCCAGGGCCNCTGGCCAAGGCCATCATCACTCATTTCTTCTTCTTTTTTTTTTTTAGTTCTGGGGAAATATTGTGAGCTTGTCTGATNCTGGCCAGGGCCATCATCACTCATTTCTTCTTTTTTTTTTTTAGTTCTGGGGAAATATTGTGAGCTTGTCTGATAAGTTTCCACTTTCTGTAGTATCTACTCTATAATTTCCATTGCATTTTAAAACACATATATGCATGTTGCATGTGCCTTCATGTTTATGAGCACATGTACATGGATATAAGTGCACGTCCATAATAGCAAAGATCCACACTGTNTATATGCATGTTGCATGTGCCTTCATGTTTATGAGCCCATGTACATGGATATAAGTGCACGTCCATAATAGCAAAGATCCACACTGTGCCTGGTCTTGGTTTCTAATACCATTCCTGTGGAAAGGAACCAGGGCTCCCTGGGGAATGGATGATTCCAGGGCTGTGGCAGGGCAAGTACAAGATGAGCCTGGAAAATCTTTTAAACTAGAAAGTAAGGGAATATTAAGTCCTTTTAAAAAGTGATGGGAACATGTCATGAGGACATAGAAGGGACACCAACTGGCCAAATCTGGGACATTTTGAGCATCAAAGTACAAAATAAACTACTAGAAAAACAGGAATTTATTATCCACACTAATAATAAGAAAAGCTATGGGGAATGTTCTTTTTTTTTTTTTTTTTTAAATGAGTCACATTTTATTTTATTTTTATTTTTTAATATATCTTTATTGATTTCAGAGAGAGGAAAGGAGAGGGAGAGAGAGAGATAGAAACATCAATGATGAGAGAGTCATTGATCGGCTGCAGCCTGCAATCCGGGCATGTGCCCTGACCGGGAATCGAACCCTGATCACCTGGATCCTAGATCGATGCTTTAACCACTGAGCCACGCCCAGCCAGGCAGTGGGGAATGTTCTTAAAGGGGTGGGCAGCCTAGGCCTGAGGTTTGCCTGGCCAGGTGTGGCTCAGTGGTTGACCATCGACCTAGGATCCAGGAGATCAAGGTTCTATTCCCCGTCAGGGCATGTGCCCGGGTTGCAGGCTCGATGCCCAGTAGGGGTTGTGCAGGAGGCAGCCGATCAATGACGGCTCTCTCATCATTGATGTTTCTCTCTCTCTCTCCCTTCCTCTCTCTGAAATCAATA